AGAAGTCGAGGAATCTTGTTTGGATCACTTGAAAATAGCCTTTGTATGTCTATCTCTTTGGTCTTTTGATTCTCATTTCGTGACAACATTGTCTTTACTTCGTTCTTGCTCATGTAATTCAATATCAGCATCTCTTGTGGTCTGCCGTTCTTGTATGCTGAATCTGCTCGTTATTTTCTTGACCTGAATTGTGTAGAATTCGGCCTGGTTCGAGACTCTTTTTTGATTACTTTGATCCCTTTTTTTCTTTCTCAGAATCCATCTGGTGTTTTTGTTCATCCTTCTGGTTTTGAGCAATCTCTCTCAGACAGCTTGAATTCAATACGAAAGCACTATGGAGATTCTCGAGGAAAACAGTATCGAGTATGGGTTAATCGAGTGCTGCCCATGAAGATCGGCTCGGACTCGTGGCTCGTGAAGTTTGAGAAATGGGAATTATCTGGTTTGACTGCTTTCCTCTTTGTTTCTTATCTTCTCTCCACCATCCGTTTTAGATTTATCTTATTTTCATTGCATTAATCAGGTCATTTGATATTAAAAAATCTCTAGAATACTAAATTTCCTAAGTGAACTCATGACCCAAATAGTAAAAGTATCTAAAAGTGTTGTGAGATCCTACATCGGTTAGGGAGGAGAACGAAACATTTTTTATAAGGGTGTGGAAACCTGTTTTAAAAACCTTGAGGGGAAACACGAAAGGAAACAAGCCCAAAGAGCACAATATCTGCTAGGGGTGGGTTTGGGCTATTACAAATGGTATCTGAGTCAGACACCAGACGGTGTGCCAGCGAGGATGCTGGGTCCCGAAGGGGTAGATTGTGAGATCCCACCTCGGTTGGAGAGAGGAACGAAATATTCTTTATAAAATGTGGAAACCTCTCCCTAGCAGACGCGTTTTAAAAACCTTGAGGGGAAACGTGAAAGGAAAAAAGCCGAAAGAGGACGATATTTGCTACCAGTAGGTTTGGGCTATTACAAATGGTATCAGAGTTAGACACCAGTCGGTGTGCCAGCGAGGACGCTGGGTCCTGAAGGGGGTGGATTGTGAGATCCCATATCGGTTGAAAAGAGGAACGAAACATTCTTTATAAAAGTGTGGAAACCTCTCCCTCGCAGACGCGTTTTAAAAATCTCGAGGGGATGCTCGAAATGGAAAACCCAAAAGAGAACAATATTTGCTAGCGGTGGGTTTGGGTTATTACACTGTCGTTCATAGACTTGTGTGTCTGTATACTTTCCCGATTACCTGCAACCGTTGGCTGACTTGTCGACACTTTACAGGCGAGGAGCGACTATGCAGCTGGACAACTGCCATACTAAGTTCAAAGGTAAGTAATCAACTGAAAAAAAGCTGATTTTGCTGTCTTTCTCGTATGTTCCACTGAGATTGTGAGCTTCTGTAAAATTTAGGATTCAAATGGTGGCAATGAGTTAGCTTGGTTACACGTCCATCAGACTTGGCTGGAAGGATCAAAAGCAGAGCTTAGTTCAACCTGGCCGTTTTAGATGGCTCTTTTTCTTTCAATCCAAATCTTTCTAACTCCAACGACTAAGGCAATGCTTCTAATGCTTCTGCTTCTTATAAAAAAATAAATGTAATTTGATGGTTTGACATCTTTATGAATAAGTTTAATATCATGATTACCTTGAATGGTTCTTTACGATAAAAATGAGATACGGTGTTAAACAGGTTGTTTGTGATAACGTCTCGTTCTTTCCTACTTTATCTATAGAAGTGTTCCAGTCACCGTCGTTTCAAGTCATTATCATGTCGATTTTTCTTTAAGGTTAATATTCTCGTAGGGTTTCAACGCTACTACAGCACTTTGCTAATGCTCGACTAAGTCTTGAATGTCCACGCTGACCATTCGCTTTCTCAGTAGCAAAAGCTTACTCCGTATGTAGTTTTGAAATATTTATGAAATGTCAAAGGTATTCCTTGGTCTATAATATAATCTTAAATATTCGTAACTATGCCTAACAATGAGCTTGAATTTTTTGCCTTTCTAGAAATGACTATTAACAGCTTCATCGGTTGAGCTATGATCTTTTTTGAACCGGTAAGTTATAAATCTTCCTTAAATGATTGGTACAAGTATGATTGTATTTTTCGTTAAAAAAAAAACGAATTACATTTAATATTATAAGATCAACAAAAGGATTATTGACAATGATAGATGAACTTAAAAAAAAGGACCACTCTAATTAATAAATTAAAAAAAATTAAAATAAAGAGATTAAATTAAAATATTTTAAAGCTATATCATAAAAATGAGTTGAAATTTGTTTAAAAATTGGAATTAACATATTTAATATATGATAATAGGTTTACGTTATATATTGACCAATAAAACACCTCTATATATTTTAATTCGTTTTTCATTTTATTAAAATTATTTCACCTAACGCATACATTTATTTTTAGACTTTCAAACGACAACTTTTTAACTTTTAGTGTCGTGTGTTCTTTGATAAGTTCCTAATTTACACGATATTAATGAGTATTTGAAGTCGTATGTTAGAAGTCAATGTACAACGTGTGCATAGGAATGTTTTAAAAAATCAATCAACCCAACCCCATTAAATAAACGACAATTTTATTGATTATGTTATTTCATAAATTTCCCTAAAACTAGCTTGAGTGGAATCGAACCAATCTAGATTTATAGTTAAATAGTTAACTATTTAGAAGGTAATTTTTTAAATAAAAAATGAAAGTAAATATTAATTAAATATAAAAAAAATAAATTAATATTTTATTTTTATTAAAAATAAAATTTTAAAACATCCAAAAAAACCTTTGCTTATGGCAATGGATAAAGTAATAAATACATTAAAAGTCAAATGGGAATCATATTATAATTTAAAATTAAATTAATTAATATTTAAATCTTTAATATTCTTTTGACTTTCTTCAATTTAGTTAGGGAGTTTGTTTTAAATTAACCATTTTTAATTATACCAAATTTGTTTTTTAGTATGTAAAAATTTAAATCTTTAATTTTTTTTTATAATACAATTTAACGATAAATTCAAACTCTAACCTCTAAAATAAAATTAATAAAAAAATGTTAATGTGTAAAAAAATTAATATATTTAAATTTTTAAAAATTGATTTAAAAAGAAAATGTTAATCTCACCATTTTTTTCTCTCCTTCTCAACAGAAATTCCCCATTTCAGTCTCTGCTTCCTCATTTATAGGATCGCATTTGATTCTGAACCAGACCCCAAAACAATTCCCCATCTCTCATTCTCTCCGTACTCCGGTCTTCTTCGAATTTCAGCTTTCGCCGCCGCGATCTTCGCCGTGCCCCCTGTTCTTATTCCGCCTCCCTCTGCCTCTTCTCCTTCGGGCCTGGGTTGCTGTTCACCGGCAACTCCACTCTCCGCTTCCTCGCCTGTTTCTCATTCTTCTCGCATGGCTGCTTGTGCTTTTCTTCTCTGATTAGATTTAGGAAACCTTCTTTGTGGGAGGAGGGATTGGAGATTTGATTATATCGATTGCTTTGTTTTCTGTTTTTATTTATTTGTTTGTTTTTTTTTTTTTTTTTTTTTTTTT